TATCCAGTTTTTTTAGTGACGTCGACAGATTATCTTCATTGCACATAGAACCATTCAGTCCATAAGTGCCCAGATCCCTCCTCAGTAAAATCCTGCAGCGTGTAGCAGCAGTGATGACACCAGTCAAAGTGTTGGCTTCTTATTCTTCTTTGGCTTAGTGCTCTTGTCTGGTCACACCCCTTTTTACTCTGCTATCCTTCCAGTTCACAGTCACTTGGCTCTAGCAACTGTCTTTCTTCTTATAGAGCATTTAGTATATCGGCGGTCCTTGTCAGTGTCACCACCCTTCACAGTAGCTTTTACAGCAAGCCTATCAGCTTGTTCATTTCCTTGCATTCCTGCGTACTGTGCCTCTGAAAAATGAAACATATCTGTCAGCCCCCAACCGTATCTAGTTTTTCGATAACCACTTTAGCAGCTGGTTACACTGCGGGAAGAGAAAAATCTGGAACATGATGTGACAACTGAGAAAAACTTATGGAGAGAGAGCTGGAAGAAGATGACGAGAGAAGACTACTGACAGCTTTTTCTTGTGGCTTGAAGGGCGTCAACATGATTCATGCTGTTGGAAAATACAGGATGTGGAGAAGAAGGGCCAACGGACAAAGCATTTGATGATGACTGTAACAGCATTGGAAAAATATCTTCTTCTTTGCTTTCAATGCGGTGTCAGTGGGAAGCGTTGCGAATCTGACTCATAATTCCAACGCACCGCGATCGAAACCCACTGCTGGCTGGGTGGATTTTATCATGGTATGGGGCGTCACAGGTGGATCCAGCCTAAAATGGGTATCAGGATGGCTGTCAAGGGGAAGTAGAGATGCTTCTCAATGTAAGATGTAACAGTTTGCCATGCTTTCAGCATTTCTCTTATTTCGGCAGAAGATTGTTGCTTTTCTGTTACCCCCTCCTCCTCTGACAAACTTTTCTCCAAAACTTCTTGCTGTGAAACACAATGCAACTCCATACGCTCTTGGGTGGTCAGCTCTTGGCTGTGCTCTTCCACAAGCTCTTCGATATCACTGTTATCCACCTACAATCCCATGATAGTGGCCAAAGACACAATCTCGTTGACTACATGCTAAATAGGTACTGTCTCGAACTCTCAAAGTCACAAATCGACAACGCTCTCCAGCCAAAGCTTCTTCCAAGCAGAAGTTAGGGTTTTATTGCTAACCCCTTCCCCTGCCTTGTCGATCATCTTAAGGCAGGCAACGATGTGGAAGTGATTTTTCCAAAACTCTTTAAGAGTGAGGTTGGTCCCTTCGGTCACCTGAAACCAATTCTCGAAGAGTGCTTTAGTTTAGAGCTTCTTGAAGTTAGAAATAACTTGCTGGTCCATGGGATGGAGTAACAGAGTGGTGTTGAGAGGCAGAAACTGATGAACTTAAATTCTTTAGGAGGTATCTTATAGGCCTGGAGGATTCATGTACATATATCACAATATAACACAAGTTTGAGAAAATGTGTGATCACAAGCGACACTACTATGCTACTGGAACGAGTGCTAAACACAGACTGGTGTAACATGCGCACAATCCCGGACTTCCCCTCTCCTCGTTATGCGAAACGTCGCTCGTTAAGCAAGTCAGTTTTTTACAATTTCTTTTGCTCGTTATGCGAATTTCTCGTTATGAGAGGTGCTCGTTAAGCGAGGTTCTACTGTATATGTATTTGTAACTATATAAATCTTCTTCTTCTTCTTCTGTGTTTGCCTTCGAAAAAGCAGATGGCACATTGTGTTTTGATCTGCCTGTGTTGTTAAGTTCATTACCAGATAATTCATCTTAAAAATCAAGGCATTACAAATTCAAGTGGATGAGTTCACAGTTAAGGTCGTTTGTACATGTTTGTAGAATGGGACAGAACTGGCCATCATGACAGACAGGGGACCAAGAATCAGACCTCCAGGATAACCCAGAGTTCTCTGAGAAGACAAAACCCGACAGTCCCTGACTGACAGAATACTGGAATGGGGAAAAAACAAGAATTATAGGAAAATTACTGATAGAGAAGTCTAGTCTAGTGATCTCTTCGGCACACGCCTACACCCCAGGGTAAAAGAGGATTGACTTAGTAAGTAAACTGTTCTGCTATTTACAGCTCTGATTTTTTGACAAACAATTAGTTACTTTTTACAAAATGCTTGTTTAGGGGGTTGGAGGGGGGGGGGAGCGGGGGGCACACATCCATATCGCACATAAAAACTACAGGCCATAGAACACACACGGGTATCTAATAAATCCATATACGATATCTCACCCATGCATAAATACTGACTCTTTGCCCAACAGGTGCTCACAAAAAATGGCCGTGCTGGGTAATAGTTTCGGGGTTTATTAAGGGCACACTCCACCGTCTGATTACACCAGGTGTCCCATCGTGGTAACTGATAACAATAGAGGCAATCATACTCTCTTTCAAATTTCTGACTCCCCTGTAAAATAAAATTGTTCAACAGTTACTGTAAATATGCAATGTTGTTAAAGTTTATAAATAATAACGATATAGTCAATTATAATAAACACAGTGTACCTCAGTTTATAAAATAATAATGATAAAGTTAATCATAATTAGGGGAGTCCCCGCTCGCTGCGGATCGGAAGGTCGTAGGTGTGCTCACTGGAGGAGCCGGACTTTTTTTCATAAATGACTTTGGCTCAAAGGTCGACCCAGCCTTGAGTGGGTACAGGGTGCAGTCCCGGGAAGTTGGGGTGGCTGGCGTAATGCTGACCACATCACCCCTCTTGTGCTGATCGGTTTATAAAAATATAGGTCTCGCTCTATATGCCCTTTACACCTAAAAGCGTGGAAAAGGGCCCTTTAGTTTTTTTTTTTAAATTAATCAAGAAAAAGTTTAGAAAAAATAGCTATGAAGTTTATAATGACTATGGCTAAAGGTGATACTTTGGTTTATAAATAATAACTATAAAGTTAATTATATTGACTACAGTGATAACCCAGCTAAGATTAACCGTCCTAGAATCACACTCATTAGCTGAATCACAATTTCCTGCAGCAAACTCCGTAACAGCATCTTGAACATATGGTCGTGTTATGTTAATGTGTGCATCTATGAAAACATTTGTAATCCAAATTTGCTAACCAAGGCAGAAAAATAACATGCCTTCTGCCATTTTTATTTTTTTCTAATCCACCATGGCGCTTGATATGACCAAAATATTTCAACTTCCAAGACATGATGCTGTTTATTAGCCAATCTTCCTTGATGTTCAGTTCTTTTCAAAAGTCAGTATTTGGCTATCCTGCAAATAATGGGTACAAAAGATGGCGGCCAAAAACAGGGCCTCAGTCACGTGTCAATTGCACTTCCGGCGACTTAATTTGTGGTTTTCCAGTGACTACCGCCAAAAGTCCCCCACACGGCGTGGATTAGGGCTAAACTAAATGGCTAGGACTCACAAGCAAAGCTGCAGGAGATGCGGAAGCTGCTGCTCGTGAGTCCCAGCGGTGGTGGTAGTCGCCGAAAAACCGCAAATTAGTCGCCAGAATTGCACAATTGGCACGTGACTGAGGCTCTGTTAGGATGTTTTTGCTGCCGCCATCTTTTGGGCCCGTTATTCGGAGGATAGCCCAGTATTTTTTCTCTTCTTTGTCCTTTCTGTAGTATTTTAGCTTAAAAACCCTTCTTTTCTTTCTTAAGGACTGGGAGAGTCAACAACTCACAACTATATGTTGCTACATGAAAGATGCATGCTCTTAAAATTGTAATTTTGATCTCCTTGCTGGTGCTTAACCATAGACTTTTAATGCTGTTTAATCTGTGCATTGCTATGGCCATCCTCCCTTTGATTTCTGTGGATGTAAAATTTATTTCAAGTGTTCCAGTAACATTCTGACTGTGCCGAACATTAACATTTACATGTTAATTTGTTTGGATTGATTATAAAATTTTTTTTTTTTTTTGGTCTTTCCTTGTTAATGTCCTCATTTGGTACTAGTAATACAATGTTGGTTTTAAAATACTGTACTGTGGACTGCTTTTTTTTATGTCTTCTTCTTCTTCACATTCACCGGCTGTAACTTCCAGCTAAAACTTCTAGTAGTTCTTCCACCTCTGAACTTTAGTCTTGTTACAGAACCTTATTTACAGATCTGAAATATCTGTATGCAGACAACTGAATCCTTGTCTCTCAGCCAGATGCACTCTCAAAGGAAGTCCCCAGTTAGTTGACTGTTACAACATGCTTGGGCGGAAGTCAGTGGGAGTATTATTTTCTCTTCTGGAGCCCACATGAGCACTTCTGATGTCAACTGTCACATGTGTAAGAGATATTCAAAAAGATATCATGTTTTTCTTAGTGTGTATCCTTTTCAGCAAAAGTTTCTTCCCCTAACAAACTGATTTGCAGGAATTTTATACCTTTTTTCTGCCGTCTCAAGCCTTACCAGGTTGTAGCCCAGTGCTGTGGTTTTCTTATTCGTCTTGCGCTTCTCGCGTGACCTGGATGATGAATTTGTTCATCTTTTTTACAAGTTTCAATAACATCATTTATCCATATCTTTCTTGGTCTTCCTCTCACCCTCCTCCGTGATGTTCTGCTGTAAACAGTCTCATATTCAGTTTGGTCTGTCTGCATTCTTAATAGATGGCTGAACCATTTCATTCTTTGTCTGTCAATATAATTCAGGCACACTCTTATTCCAACTTTCTCTCAAATGCTGGTATTCATAACTCTGTTTCTTCTTGTGTTGTTAGTGACCTTACAGAATTTTCCTCTTCGTCACTTAAAGGGTGGTTGGCACATGGTGCTGTGGTTCACACCTGCGCCTTTTGGCTTATAACATCTGATTTCAGCAAAACCTCAATAAGTTGCCTTATTTGACATGCTTAATAAGGGAGCACAATGAGTCCATCTCTCCCCCCCCCCCCCCCCCCCCCCCCCCCCTGCTTTTCCCGATGGGGCTTTGTAACCTACAGAGGGTGCTGTAATTTCAAGTAAGCTGTAATCTGAGTTAAGCAAGCAAACAAAACTTACTGAGCAGTTCACACTTGGCTTTGGCATACAAGAAGCTCTTTGCTTGGTCCCGTATTGGCAAGACACATTAAAATCACAGTCAATACACTCAGCACTCAGCTGGCTGCACTCAAGCTTCTCGCTGCACACCTCTTCCACACTGATCCTACATTCCACTGCCCTGGGACCACTGGTGTTCTCGCTGCCATTGCCTGAGGAGTTGTCTGGTGTAGTTGTGACATCAAGGTCTGGTGTCACCTCACCAGGCCTACCAGCATCTGCAACAGAGAAATGCAATTAATCAGTGCGGTCGGAGGATGAACCCCACGCTGGCCGGTGTTGACTTTCATGAAGTGTCACCGTTACTTGGTCAGCACACCAATAACACAGGACGTTACAGTTAGGCAGCCATTTTTTACTTCCAACTCTTGGTTTCAGCAGCATGTGACCTACATAACTAGAAATGGGGGCAACTTTCCACTCCGCTAACCAATAACACGGTCTAGTCTGTACACATTCTCTAGTCTGTGCCTACATTCTCCAGTTTGTGCCTACACTCTCCAGTTTATGCCTACACTCTTCTTCAGTCTGTGCCTACACTCTTCAGTCTGTGCCTACACTCTCCAGTCTGTGCCTACACTCTTTAGTCTGCGCCCACTCTCTCCAGTCTGTGCCTACACTCTCTAGTCTGTGCCTACACTCTCTAGTCTGTGCCTACATTCTCTACTCTGCGCCTACACTCTCTAGTCTGTGCCTACATTCTCTACTCTGCGCCTACACTCTCTAGTCTGTGCCTACATTCTCTACTCTGCGCCTACACTCTCTAGTCTGTGCCTACATTCTCCAGTTTGTGCCTACACTCTCCAGTTTGTGCCTACACTCTTCAGTCTGTGCCTACACTCTTCAGTCTGTGCCTACACTCTCCAGTCTGTGCCTACACTCTTTAGTCTGCGCCCACTCTCTCCAGTCTGTGCCTACACTCTCTACTCTGCGCCTACACTCTCTAGTCTGTGCCTACATTCTCTACTCTGCGCCTACACTCTCTAGTCTGTGCCTACATTCTCTACTCTGCGCCTACACTCTCTAGTCTGTGCCTACATTCTCTACTCTGCGCCTACACTCTCTAGTCTGTGCCTACATTCTCCAGTTTGTGCCTACACTCTCCAGTTTGTGCCTACACTCTTCAGTCTGTGCCTACACTCTTCAGTCTGTGCCTACACTCTCCAGTCTGTGCCTACACTCTTTAGTCTGCGCCCACTCTCTCCAGTCTGTGCCTACACTCTCTACTCTGCGCCTACACTCTCTAGTCTGTGCCTACATTCTCTACTCTGCGCCTACACTCTCTAGTCTGTGCCTACATTCTCTACTCTGCGCCTACACTCTCTAGTCTGTGCCTACATTCTCCAGTTTGTGCCTACACTCTCCAGTTTGTGCCTACACTCTTCAGTCTGTGCCTACACTCTTCAGTCTGTGCCTACACTCTCCAGTCTGTGCCTACACTCTTTAGTCTGCGCCCACTCTCTCCAGTCTGTGCCTACACTCTCTACTCTGCACCTACACTCTCTAGTCTGTGCCTACATTCTCTACTCTGCGCCTACACTCTCTAGTCTGTGCCTACATTCTCTACTCTGCGCCTACACTCTCTAGTCTGTGCCTACATTCTCTACTCTGCGCCTACACTCTCTAGTCTGTGCCTACATTCTCTACTCTGCGCCTACACTCTCTAGTCTGTGCCTACATTCTCTACTCTGCGCCTACACTCTCTAGTCTGTGCCTACATTCTCTACTCTGCGCCTACACTCTCTAGTCTGTGCCTACATTCTCTACTCTGCGCCTACACTCTCTAGTCTGTGCCTACATTCTCTACTCTGCGCCTACACTCTCTAGTCTGTGCCTACATTCTCTAGTCTGCGCCTACACTCTCTAGTCTGTGCCTACACTCTCTAGTCTGTGCCTACACTCTCTAGTCTGTGCCTACACTCTCTAGTCTGTGCCTACACTCTCTAGTCTGTGCCTACACTCTCTAGTCTGTGCCTACACTCTCTAGTCTGTGCCTACACTCTCTACTCTGCGCCTACACTCTCTAGTCTGTGCCTACATTCTCTAGTCTGCGCCTACACTCTCCAGTCTGTGCCTACATTCTCTACTCTGCGCCTGTACACTAGACAATTTCACTGTCCTAACCGCTCCATGTCCATGAAGCTCTTGATCCATCAACTACTCTCCAACGTCATAAGGACTGACCTCCATAGATGTAGCTAATATTCTCTCAAAACAAGGAGGACCGGCCTCCAAATAATATTGTGGTTACAGCTCTCGAATGTAGCAGTGTTTGGCCTTCACTGACGTACAATCCAGCATAGGGAGACTTGGTCTCTGTTGACGTATTCTCCAGCATCAGGCGGCTTGGCACCCACATGACGTATGACACTATTAGGAACTAAACCGGAAACGGTTCTGCTTCCCACTGACAACTTCTCCGGGCCAGGCCTGACTCCCAATGATGCATGCATTCAGGGATGTACCACACGCTGGCCAAGTATCTAGGGGAATTTGTATATGAAATGTCTGTCCTCCACACCTACACATTGGATTCCATCTATCCACCAACCATGCCTCCCACTTTCCTTGGCACGACACAGGCTGATGGTGATTACATCTAGATTAAAGGACGGCCAACTCAAAACAAGGGCACCACTATATATTACAGGCACAGGTAACCTACTGTAACCATTAACAGTCTACGAGTACTGTGTACACTATGTCAAGTCTCTTTATTATGGACGAATACATTGCAACGAAGATCAGTGGTGATCAATGGCACACTGTCAAGTCTTATACTCATTTTGGCAGATTCTCCAGACATGGACAAAACACCCCAGTAAACTATATACCAGGTGCCTGCTACGAGCGACTAACACCTGATCGCGCAGATACACCTATGTGATGTGCAGTGACAATCCTTTGATGGTACGTCCTCTAAATGATCCCACTACCCAAGGACTCAAGGCAGATGCACCATTTGGTGAAAGACTCAAGACCTCCCGTCTGCTACCCCAGCCACTCACTGAAGTATCCCTAAATAACATCCTGTTAATCAGCCTCCAATACTTCCCCATCACAACTCCACACTGGTCAACACTCACAAAGTTCCCCAGCACCTTCTGCGCACTGACATAATTCCTAAGTCCAACTCGGATCGACCACAGTCACCCAGACAGAATCAAACATTTATATTAACACATAGTTAGATGAACTGAAAGCTTCTGACTCAAGCTATCACTGGACACCCATGGTCAGTCCCGCATAGATCTCACTTTCCTGCCAACACTCGAGTTCACAACCCCCTCATGATATCAACCCACAGGGATCCCACAATATCCATGATGTCCTCAAGACTCATATTTTCCCTAGTGGCTCATGATCCACTTTCTTCCAGTGGCCCCAAATGTTTACATTCCCAACCTGTCACACAAAGTCCTGGCTTCGTTAACTCTCTAGACCCCAGTGATTTTGCAGACATCTCCACAGTGAAGGCTGCCTGCAATGGATCTTCAACAAGTCTTTTTCCTTGGTTATACACATGCTTATCCATCTCTTGATGTTGTCCTCCCACCTGTATCATTGTATACCTTTGCCCTCAACCTGTCCCTCCACTATTGTTTTTTCTTCTTCTTCTTCTTCTTCTTGTTCACCGGCTGTGAATTCCGGCGGTAAGTCACGGTTGTTCGTCCAAAATGGACTTTTGGCTTTTACCTTGACCTGAGTTTTGCGTGTACATCCGTTTTACTGGCTTATTTGTTTGCAGTACTCGTTCCCCGCCTCTCCGGCAGATGTACTCCGACTTCGGAGGAAGACGTCAAGCCTATTTCTAGGTTGACTGTGGCCATTGTTTTGTGTGGGTCGAGATGTTGCCTTATTTGTGTGGTGTCCTCTTTGACTTTTAGCAGGTGTGGCCCCCGGCATGTCGTCCTTAAGGCAGCTCTATGTAGAGTTTTCAGCCCTCAAGGGAAGGCAGGGGCAGATTATGGGCATTCCCCGCCATCCAAGGAGGCTTCCATAAATGCAGAGCCGACACATGATGCTCTGGTTCTGGGCTCACCTAAGGAATCGTCACGTCCTGCCCATGACTGCTTAACCTCACAACCGTGTATTGAGTTTCCCGTGCTACAAGGCTGCGCTCTCCGGAGATCAGCGGGGAGCAGCCCGCAGGTCTAGGACGTTTGTGGCCACACAAATAGGTACATTCTTTTTTATCTTACGTTAGACACCTTTAACGTTGTTTCAGCTGTGCCCTTAGCACGACAGAATGGGGAAGCAAAGTGCGTCAGGCGTGGCTGCACCTGTTTGGTCCCAACACTCGGGCGAGTTGGACCAGTGGATACGGACATTCAGACTTTTCCTAATCGGTACGAGTTATGATCGTCGGACTTTGAGCTTGCATGTGTGCCGTGGGGTGTAACTTTGTCGGACATTGTTTTCAAGCCAGCATATGAATAGTTGCTGCCATGGTGTACCTCAGAGCGGTGACGACGACACTGAGGATTGACAGAGGATGTACGTAGGTAGGATCTTGCTGCGAGAAGTCGCCCACAAGAGATGTTACTCGTCTTGGCTGCGGGTAAATCTCTCGGTCAGGGTTGAGTCTCAGCAGCACAGTTTTCCATTCGCTCCCGAATTTTAACCAAGAGTTGTCATTTGATGGTACATTTAGCAAGCAATCCTTGAGTTTTGTTACTTTTCACCCATGCGTTTGGGGGCGGGCTGGTGAGAGCCAGAAAGGACTCTACACCTCTAGGGGCCGCCAGCTCCGAGATCCCCTGCCAACTCTGTTAATGCTCGTTTGAGACATTATCCGTGGCGCACGGAGTTTTGCATGAGGTTCCATAAAACCAGAACAGTGAAGGACTGGCGCCCGAGTGGGGTACGGAATATCTCCTTATACACATCACATCAGACTTAACTTCCCCTCATGCCTGTGACCGAAATCACCGCGCCACTATGGTTTTTTTTTTTTTTTTTTTTTTAAAGCGTGTTATGTCTTTTAATGTAGCCAAAATGTTCCAACTGTCTCAGATTTATTTTTTCTGTGATTTTCTTTTTATTTGCAGTCTTTCCAGAACCTCTATATTTGACTGTTTTTGTTTCCACAAATTACGACTTATTCTTCTCAAACTGATTCAATTCCAGCTGCCCCAAGATAATGTCTGCTTTCTTTAAATATATGTGACCTCATTTATTACAGTTAATGTAAGTGCTGTTGTTTTT